TGGGGGGCAGAAGCCAGTGGAGGGATTGGGGGAGGGGGGGCGAGATGGAAGCCAGTGGAGAGATTGGTAGAGAGGAGTGGAGGACACTGAATGGTTGGTGAGGTGGATGAGTCTGGCATCAACATTCATAGATATATATATAATGTGGCCCTCTTGAAGATCCATACTATTTAGTTTGGCCCACTGTTTCATCTAAGTTTGACATTCCTGGTCCAGACATAGGCGCTAACTGACAGTTCTTCTCAAACTATAGATCTATAAATTCAATTGAATAAAAAAAAAATCCATGCAAAGGTACAAGCATGGAATGGTGGAAGAAGGAGGATAGAGGGAGGAGAAAGGAGCAAGAGTGAGGGAAGTGTATTTCCTTGCTGTGCCTCTGTATTTGTGGAGATAAACAAAGCTTACTAGCACACACAGGGGTAGCTCTATAGGACCCTGCAAGGGAAAGGAGTCACCCTAAAACAGGAAGTCAGGAAAAAGTGCTTGAGAAACCAGCTGATTCTGCAGGAAACTAAAACTTTTAATCATCAACTAGCAGCGTCCATTGTAAGTGATTTCATCACCATTCGAAATAGCTTAAAAACCTTTTGACTCTAATGTGACTTTAGCAGTTCTGGTTTTGAGTTTTAAGCGAGCAAAGCTGCCTGTTAGCTATACCTGCCATTGGAGGCATGAGCAGAGGTCACAGGAAGTTAGGATGATACATTTCTGTGTTGTTTTTTTCAGTATCCGGCTTGTTCTGCTCCTGCAAGTCCCTGGAAGAAGAGAGGGGTCACCCTGTACAAGGGAGCAGCCGTGCCTTCCAGGTCATCAATCGCTTCGCCCGAGATGTCACTGAAATGCCAGACAACGCTACATCTCTAAACAACAGTAAGTCCCACGTCACAAGGTAACATAGAGTTCAGAACATCTAAAACCAATACCCGAATAATACAACTCATAATGACCAGTTCTGGTCTCCTCTGTCTCTTCTTTGTCCTGCCCTTTCCTTTCCCCGGTATCTTCAGGATTGATCACTTGTGGGAGTGATTGGCCTCCAGTGGTAGACAGAACCCTTCTAATAGGCTTCGTACATGACACTAGAACCATAACAGCACCCAGGGGCGGACCTACCGCCGGTTGCACCGGGGCCTAAACCTGGGGGGACCCGGTATCCAATCTAACACAGCTCCGGGGCAGAGTTGGGGGAGCCCGCTGGACAATGGATACCGTCGGATCAGTATCGGGTGTGCCCCCCCCATCTCTGTGCCGGGAGTATCGGATGATCCGGCACTCCCAACGCAGAGATGATGGGGCCCGCCGGCCGCCGGATCATGAGGAGGGAGCCGAGAATTAAAAAGCCTGCAGGCACTTCAAGGGGCAGCCCTGGGCATCAGCCGTGAGGACCCAGCAAGCAGCGGCCTGTGCACACGGGCGCGCTGTCTCTGACACACACACTGGAGTATTTTTCTGCAGCCTCTCCCACCAGATAACAGTATAAGACCAGCCAGAAAAGGTGAAGGTAATTAAATAAAATGATTATTATTTGTAGCCCAACTGATGGACATGTTGTATAAAGTACTGCTGGTATTTGTAGTGCTCTATAGCAGGTGTCATTCTGCATTGCAGCAATGCAGAATGGCACCCTCTATAGAGGACTACAAATCTCAGCAGTGCTTTATACAACAACGCTATTTTTTACTATTTTTCCAGCTTTATTTTTTTGTGGTTGCTTCAGGGGGTGTGGATTGGGGGGGGGGT